AAGAGTTATAAATTTTTATGTGTGGACTAATTTAGATATCATGTAGGCAATAAGAAACGCAGCAACCTGTGGCAAGGGCATTTTGTAATTACAGCTTACATTTATTACAGATCCCTAAAGTAAACACATGTGTCATAGTTTATCTTAGTGTTTCTGTGCAGAGATTCAAACTACAGATTTCAAAATGACTCATTTACTTTAGTATGTAATATTTTCTTGGCTTTAAATTCAGTAGTATGAAAGTTAACAAGCTTTTTTTAGCATGAGGATATAAATTGTCTAATAGAAAAGCTGTTTTAAAACACAGTTTTAGTACAAGTGCTTTTTGTTCAATCTAAAATAAATTTTTTTAGATGTGGATTTTTTATATTGGTCTACTTTAAAGCAGTGCAAGTTGAGTACTAAAGTTTTTTGCCTACAGTCTAAATCTGTGATTTTGGTAACAATGGAACAGATAAAAGAAGAATGAGATGACCCAGTAATCAAACTGAGTTTCATCAATCCCTTTGTTTATTCCTCCACCCAGAGACAGAGTTCAGGGGCTGAGGTTTTGGCTCAGCGGCACAGCGCCTGCCTGGCAAATGCAAGGTTGTGAGTTCAATTCCTGGTACCGGAAAAAAAAAAAAAAACAGACAGAGATCTGATTTTATTGTATGAAGATAATTATTTATTTACAAATCTGGATTTTCCCCATTATTTTTGAATTGAGTTTGTAGAAGCAACTACTTTATAACCTAGAACCTTTGAGTGCAACTCTGAAAATAGATGCTGTTTCCCTACTCATCATCTTAACTGTGCAAAGGATTCTTCAGGTATCTTTCTTTTTCTGACCACAGCCACTTGAAAACTAGGCCACTGATACACTTTGGGGTTATATCTTTAGCACCAGTACTTTTTATAATCTGATATAATAGAATATTAGTCAAACAAATTAACCTGTGTTAGAGGCTGGGGGTTTAGCTCAGTGGCAGAGCACCTGCCTGGCAAGCAAGAGGTAGTGAGTTCAATTCCCGATACAGAGGGGGGGAGAAAAACAAAACAAAAAAATTAATCTGTGTTTGAGAAAAAAAAAAACAGTGTATTCAGAAGGGATAAGAAGAACCATTTGTCATAGTCCCATTTGTTTTAACTTGTGTCCAAAGGCATAAAATCCTTGAAATTTAATGTTTGAATCTGATAAATTTCAATAAATAAGGATTTTTTTCTTAAAAATAGATGAAATTATATAAATTTCTATGTATTTCACATTACATTGTTCTTACAGCACCACTGCACTATGAAATACATGTGCCATATTGATGATAGATTATTAGAACAAATTCTCTATGTGGTTTTCCAAAAATAATACAAAAGTGATGTAAAATATTCCTTAATAATTATTGAATTCAGTATTGCCAGCATAGTCTGCATTTTAAATCTGAAATGTCTGATTGTCTTTTTTAGCTAATAAAGTACCTAAAATTTCATCTACAAATCGTTCTATTTTCAAATACATCCTGGTTTTTATATTAAGTAAAATGATTAACATAAATATAAGGAATGTTGGAAACTCTTTAATGTTGGAAGTGATGTGCTAGCTGCCTCCTGCCATCAAAACGTGTGGGATGATATTTATTTGGTAAAGCTGCAAAGATTACGAGTAGGAAATAAAATTATTAGTAATCTATTCCCCTTACTCTCTCTGGGCAAAAATATATACAACTAAGTTTCACAGGAGTCAGATTTTAAATTTTCTTTTTATAGATACATACACACATATGTCATAGTGTCAACTACACAGCAAGATCCTATCTCAAAAAACAAAAAGATTTAAGGATGTGTTTTGGTAAAATAATTCAAGTAAATATTGAGAGAGAAAGAAATCCATAATAATTTTATTAGTTTGTTGCCTTACTTCAAAGTAAAGTAACGCAGTAACACTTCCAAGGAAAAGTGTTTAGGAGGCCTTATAGAGGAATAGAAAGTTTCTTCCTTTTACGTTGTAGACTACATTGTGACAGCCTCTGACCATCACTTCATTATCCTCCCTCTTCCAAAGAAAGGTAGAGGACAGCCTACTGATTTACTCTATCCAAACCTGAGCCCCTACTGGTGCACTCTTAGCATGTACAGACTGACTGATAACTTGTACATACATCTCAAGCTGCAATGCACAGAAATGTGCAGCAGTCAGGTATTGCACAGATCGAACTTTCAATCTCCTATCTCTTGCAGTGCAGCAGCTCTGATGCCATGTTACCAATACTCTAATATAAGACAACTAATTCCTGTGTGATCTCACCATTTAATGCTTAAAAATGACTATTTTGAATACCCTCTCTATAAAATTCTATTATTTTGTCCTCAGTCACTGTCTTTGTATCATACTTCATTGACAAAATAGAAAGAAAAAACACTTAACAATTAATCCTTTAAGAACCAGTATGGTAATATACTTAAATGTATCTCGTCTTGGATATCATGACATTCTTGTTTTAAGTGTAGTCATATGCCAGTTTGTTTTGTCATATATCCTTTTGTTTTGTTTCAAAATATTTATCTTTGAAATATTGCTTATAGTATATACCTATGTTAACTCTCATCTTTTAATTTTCAAATAAATGTAAAAATTATACATATTTGTGAGGTACAAAGTGATGTTTTAACTTATAAATACTAAGTGAAATGACCAATTTGAGCAGCTTTTCACTTTTTTATCATTGCCAAATAAACCGAGAGTGATAAAATAATTCCTTAAAATTCATTTTCCTTTCACCGTGTCTCACAACTCTATTTGCCTATAAGAGTATTTTTTTAAGTTCACTAAATTCATTCTCACCTCCTCTTTGCCTTCCATTCTTGTCAGAGAAGAGTCTCCAACATATTACAACAGAAAAAAATAAACAAACCTGTTCCTATCAAAATCACCAGGGGCTTTCAACTTGCCAAATCCAAAGTCATTCATTTGCCTTGATTTTATTTACCCCCACAGAACCATTCCACGTGGTAGAATTATCTCTTATTTTGTAAAATCCTCTGATGTCTTTCTTTTACATATATTGCAGGACAATCACATTTATTTTAATTTTTCAGCCAATACTTTTTTAACTTTTAAAAGTTTCACTAATACAGAATTCGAATACATGCAGTTTACAGTCACGGCGAGGGTGGGTACATATGCTTACTACGGCTTGGTTCCTTTTTTACATCCTCTCCTTCTCTCCTCACTCCATCCTTCCTCTCTAATTCCCCTCTTCCAGTTTTCATTCTTGTTGATGTTATTAATCTTAGCCTTTGTTATGGTGCATAATGCTTACATTCGTTGAGATTCTTAGGTTCCTGTACTTGGTATACCTTTATTCTATATTTCTCCCTTCTCCTCCTCTGCACCTCTCACCCTAGTTCCCTTGGACACCTGCCCTATTACAAGAGATCCATCCCCAATACACAATCTTAAATACCATGTGTCAGCTCTCTTGTGCATGTGGCAAAGTACAATAAAGGGAGTAAAAGAGGATGGATGGAAGGGGCCAAGAGGATGGATCACTTCCAGTCCTGTTGTGATTAGCAGTGGAGTCAGCCTGAATGCTCTGTCTTCTCTGCTATCAGTGTCCCTCCCACTGTCAGGCCCTACATCAGCTTGCTACATGTCAGTGACTCCCACATTACTACATGCAATTCTGTTCACTTTGCTATAAGATCTTTCCCTAGAGTGCGGTATGGCTGACCTCTTTTTATCATCACTTTAAAGATCTTCTCCTACATAGGCCCTGCTTCTTCAGGTAATTAATCGTAATTATACTTCACTTATACTTAAAACTGTCATAATATATGTTATTAGCTGTGATCATGTTTGTTAAAGATTCCTTATCTGTTGCTTGCGTTTATAACTACATGTGAACTAGAAATTAACTCCCATGTGTCCTTTATAATTTTATTCTATTTTCAAACATAGTCTTACCAGGTTAAGTCCATAACACATGCTTGAGGAGAAAGAAGAAGGCGGGAAGACTAGGAGGACAAGGGCAAAGGATGAAGGCGTCATGAGCAGAACAGGAGAGAGGAGAAAAGAAACACTATTTCTGTGCTCAGCTAACAAGCTGGAATATAAAAACGTCACAGACATTTTTATATCAACTGATAATTTGTCGTGATGCATACTGCACAGGGAAATGTTTATGCTGCATTTAAATAACTATATTCTAACCAACATGGAATGATACCTTTAAATTGTAAGTGCTAAAAGAAAATGTAAATTACAAATTGAAAAATCAGAAAAATATATTATGGAATACATACATATTTTAGAGTTATTGGATTATGAATAAATATTTAGTTAAAACAGTTCTAAAACGAGCTAGTACATTTTTAAATGATTATAATTAAATCACATTTGTCTGTCACAGGAAAATAAGGGAAATAAACTGTACTATGTGTTGTGCTGTCAAAATTTTGACTGAGTGAATGAAAGTCTTTTGTATAATTATGTTTCCCCCAATGGAATGATATTTCAAATTTCTATGGCAGTCAATTTTTATGTCTTGTAGAAATTAGTCTCTTCTATGTGTATTATGTTTACAATATTAATAACGAAATTATTAGATTTGAAAAGAAACTTGAAGTGCACGTAGCTCCATAGAGCTGTTTACCTATTTGGTTTCACTTTTTTGTCTTTACAGACTATGGTTTCCAAGCTTATAATTGCTTAGGTTTTATATTTCAGCTACATTTCATATTTACATTTTGTAGAATTTAATAAATTGCACAAATAAAATTGTCTAAGCTTCTTAATGCTTTCCAATTTGAAATAAAACTCTAAAATATGGACATTTATGTATATATATTAATATTTGCAATATTTTACAAAATTTTACTGCATAGCTGATTTTTTCAGAAGAATGTACTGATGCAGGAAGGAAGCGCTATTATAGAACTTAAAAATCTACTTCCAAACACATCCTCAACCTTTTAAATCTGTTGTCATTGCTATTATATGTTCGGTGTAAATTAACATGGAGTACCTTCTGGAGACATCTCAGGTACAGTGGCCACATAAGGTTCATGTAGGAATTTCGGTGCATTATCATTGATATCCGAAACTCTGATCACAAACTCAGACTCAGGCTCCACAGCCCTCCCAATCGCGGTGTCTATAACCTGGGCCCTCAGAGTGTACAGGGATTGCTCTTCTCTGTCAAGCTTCTGTTTCGCATATAGGTCACCTGTGTTTGGATCAATGACAAAAATACTGCCAGCTCCAACTCCCACAAGTTTGTACTGGAAAGAGTTGTTTCCGTTGTCTAAATCAGATCTTAGCTGCAAGTACAAAGAGAGACAATTCAGTTTCCAGATATACTGAAAAGAACACATAGTCTTTAATTATTTTACTTTCATGTATGTTAAACGTTTCTCAAGTCAATAATTCTATACAATCTCTGAATTAGATTAAGTGAAGTGAAATAAGAACTTCCAAATTAAAATCTGTCATCAAGCAGAGCAGTCTTAATTTTTACTTCATAAATAATCACAGAAATTTTAGTATTCTAAATACAAGTAGATAATTCTAGTGAAAACTATAGTAACTGAAAAATGTCTTTATTATAAATTCTGCACAAAATAATTGGTTCAAGTTTGGTAATTTCAGTGAAATTATATTCTCACATATTTATATTATGGGACTTAGAGAAAGTGAGGATAATACCTATTTAAATTATATCTCCTAATTAATCACTTATTTAACCAATGTTTTTATTGTCTTGACTGATAATACATTGAAGATGTGGCAATAATAGGGGAAAAAATTGAGGAAGGTAAGTAGAAAATGACCTCAGCAATCCACTAGGTATTCATTATATAGAATAATATTCACTAGTTCCTTTATATTCGTTCACACCAGTAATCATAACATTGAGGAACTTTTTTTTTGATGCAGTTAATCATATCAGTGGAGAAGAAAAGGAAGTCAAAAACATTTTTAAATTCATCCAGGAACATTTTTTGATGGAGATTTATCATTTTGACCACTTTATCCTTCTAAATACAGATCCTTTCCTAATCACAATTATGTAACCTGATAGTTAACCTTTGGATTTTAATGAAAAATATAAACTCTTGTATCCAACACAATCTATTTACTTCTCAAATGTGTATTTTTTGTTTATTAATTTATCTTTTGGTACTGGGAATTGAACTCGGGACCTTGTACTTGCAAGGCAGGTGTTTGTGCCACTGAGCTATATACCTTGCCCTGACATGTGTATTTTGTTCTTGTGCTAATATTTGTTTTTTTCATTTTGTAAAAAGTAAATTCGTCCTTTTTAGTTGATGGATTATTTAGGCTTTAAATTTATATGTAAAAATGTTATTTTGATATATTAAATTGGTTGTACCTTTTGCTTTTTTATTTTAAAGAGAATTAAAAAATATCAAATTGTTTTCACATAAAGATCTTCCACTTTTTTAAAAATAATGATCCTCTCATTATTGCAGATGTAACTTTTCTAGATTCATCACTTGTGAATATGCTCTTAAAGTAAAAGTGCCTCTTGAAGTACAAAGTTCACCATGAAGTCCAACATTAAACTGAAGACTTTCCAGTGGCCTGAGTTTTAACTTATTATTGTAGACTAGTAAGTAAAATTTTATGTGAATGTGGAGAAAATCTAAGCATACCTATATCACCAAATTTAAAAACTTAATGTATTGAACATCGATGTTACATAATGTAACAATGAAAGCAAATTGAAGAAACTAGTATCCAGGTTGAGTTTCTGCTGTAGTTCACTTAATCTAGTAATCTTGATTACTCATAAAGTAAGAGAAATATTCTGTTATGATGTCCAGAAATTAAGAAAAATAAATGTGTGTTCCAATTATTGTATCAAATGAAGAATAAATGGCCTAGGCTTGTAATGATACCAAGTGCATGTAATAAAGTCTGAGACTTTACTCAACATTAAAATGAAGATGTTATATGTCATAATAAAAGGTATTGCAGATATAGTTATGGTGTAATTTTCAAAATTATTCAGATTTCAAAATGTTTGCTTCAATACTCACCTTTTGATTTCACAATATACATTTGTTAAACACATTTTTGACCATAGTAAATATTGCAATATTTATTATGATTCTCTTTAAGACATTTTCCCAATTAAGTAGCCATTTTCAATTTGACAAACCTGAATCACATGAAATTTCAGTTTATGACCTCCATCTTAAACAATTTTAACAAATGAAATCAAAATAAGTTTACTTGGACACAGAAGTTATTTTTATCTTCACTACATTTAATTATATGTACTTAGGTATCCACTATAATTATTTCTTTAAACCAGTTATCTCTATGCTATTTAAGCCATATGAAATTGTTTAGAGGAAAAATATCTATTAGAGTATTTCCATAATTATCATTTTTTAATTTTTATTATTTTGGTAATGGAGATTTCACATTGAGCTACAGTATATCCCGGCCCTTTTTTATTTTTTGAGAAAAAGATCCACCAAAACACAACTTTGCCCTAGCTGGCCTTGGAAATTTCCCTCCTCTTGGTTCATCTTCCTACAGTGCTGGGATTACAGAGGTGCCTCACCATAGCTGGTTTCCAAAAATACATTCTATGGAATGAAAAGGATAGGCAACATCCATCCCAGGGACAGGAGGAAACTGGAGAGTCATGTACGGGGCAGTCAAAAACAACAACAACAACAAATAGAAAACTAGAAAGTGTGCCAAGCACAGAGGTAGCATTTGTTCCAGCCACTGTGGTGCATTTCGTTGCAGTGCCACATTACCAGCTGTGGTTTGTGACCCTGTTCGTTGATACTCTGTGGAGCTCATTGCAAATGTAGCTAGTGTGACTTGGAGTTAACTGTCAGGATTTAATGGGACCACATTTTTGTGATCTGTGCACATGCTTAACCCACAGAAATTTTAAAACATCACATGGGAGGAGAAGGAGTGTTTGTAACAGGCATGCACACACACCCACAGACAAATGTTTTACAGTCTGTTTGCTCAAGAGCTAAGCCCTGGGTTGAATGTACTCATATATATTTGTCTGATAGGATAAGTGAAACTCCATGGAATCTGGACGTACTAACTGCAGAAATCTTGAACGTGCTAGAAAAGACAGTCAGTGAATACTGAGTACTTTGCCCTTTGGGCCCAATTAAATTTTAGCGCTAGTTAATTAGCTGTCAGACTTATTTCAATTCTTTCATCTAGAGAAAGAGCCTTCTGAAAAAGGAAAGAAAAAAGATATGATATTGTAATTACCTGTGTTTAAGGAAAACCAAATAATTATATAAAACAAAAACATAAATAGATTTTTCTATCTCATTAAGAAAACTTTCTTCTGAGAGGGAAATAATTATTCTTTGTACTTCAGTCTTTCTAAGCACATGAAGTATTTGGGCTCTTGAAGCTCTTTGGCTGTAAAAGGATGTAGGATTTATTTGCTTCTTTAAAAATGAATGAGAGGTCGATGAACAGCTACTTAACAGAAAATCAGGCTAAGCATTGTTGGTGGATAATATTTGACTCCATATGGCTCCTTTGACCAATTACCAAAAGCAATACCATTAAGTTTTCAGAAGCTGATAAATGAAGATAGCATTGTCATATAGGATACTAAAGTGAAATGTGGAAACCAGAAATTCCCTTCTTCCTCTTGATTTTAGTGGATATTTTAGGTGTCTCTAAATTGAGGCTTGTGTTTGAGGATTTCAAGTTTTGTTGCAAAAAAAAGGACTAAAACTTCCATCCAGCACTAAAACTTTTCTAACTCATGTGATGTTGCTACAGTGCCCTTTAGTAAAACGTTCAGAAAATAAGTACCCGTCCAATCAGATGCTTAGTTGTGTTCATTTCCTCCGGTACAAAAAATTGGTTCCACACCCAGCCACGCTTCACTCTTAAGTGAGATCCCACTGGTTGCTTAACCTTCTCTGTTTTAGAGTCTTCTGCAGCCTTAAGACAAGGCCATAGGAGAGGGATTCCCAGCATAAAAGGCAGGAAGATATAACAATCCATTCTGAAGTCTTGATTCCAGCCGTTACTCTTCATAGGAAACGGGATGTTGCAAATAAAAATCTTGTGTTTCCTTATAATCCTGTTTTACACTTAAATGTCTTTTACATTCCTGAAGTATAAGAAACAAAACAAAGTTTGACATTTAAGAAATATCATTTCGTATATAACTGCTAAACACAGGTAACAACTTCTGAATCTAAGACAAAGTGGAATAAAAATGTACATTTAATTTATCTTCCAATTAAGCTACTTGATTGTATTTTGTAGCTCACCGGTAACTTGATTGGAATAATTATAAATTTCTGTTCAGGCATCATTTGTTTTAAATTGCAGTCATAAATCTGCCTGAAGGTTGAGAAGTTATTGGGGCAATTTCCTTGATTGACAGATGACATTGAGAGAGAATTTTTATTATTATTTAATTTACTTTCTTTCTCTTTCTGTCTCAGGAAAATCTCAAGCTAGTTTGTTAAAGTAACAGTCAAGCAAGGATCAATAAAAGTCGTATATGTCTCCTTTTCACTCGGTAGAACTAAAATTTCCCTCCCAGATTACCAAAGTGTGATGACTTATGCAGTTAGTTAAACAAGCAAATGAAAATTACTCTTAAAACATTACAAATGCAATAATTAATTAGATTAACACATTCTGACTAGAATTTTTCTGCAATATATTTACTTTATGTAGTTTAAGATGTGGAAAAGTAGTATCTATCTTTAAGAAGTAAAGATATTTTTAGACCATAAATATAAAACTATGGTGTTTGGGTAAAAATGGCTCCGTGTTTAGAGTACGTAAGCTGGATATAAAAACTATTTTCTACTACTTAAGTATTACAACAATAAACAGTCATACTGAGTTTTACATTTAAAATTCCCATTTACCTAAAGCAGAGCTTACCAATTGCTTCTGTCAGGACTGGTAATTCTCATCCTTATATCTAACTGAATAGCTTTGCATTGCCCGCATTTACACAATGTTCAAATAAAAGCAAGTTGGATGTATTTCTTCAGCTTTCATAAAGAAAAATAATTTGCTGAGTTCCACAGTATCATTTAATAGCATATAATCAATAGCAAATCCATAGCATCTCAGCTTAGAAGTTTCTCTGCTTAGTTCGTGTTTTGAACATGCTGAAAATATTTTAGGAATATCTCTGGAGAGAATTTTTTTAGAACTTAGGTGCTTATTAGGAAGAGTTGCTAAAAACACCTAATTAAGAAAGAGCACGGGGATTCTGTGTTCCTTCTGTAACCCCTTGAAGTGGATGTTTTCTGTTAGTAATTTACTTGGCGAAGGTCATAAAGATACTCAGAAGGAGGTGAAAATTCAGGATGTATTTTATGCTTAAATTGTATATGTAAAATGCATGCATCTATTCTTTAATTATTGCTAACATATACATTTTAATAACTAATAATTTTCTTTATGAGAAGATATTTTTATAAGTTTGGTAAACTATCATCAGTGCTGATATAAAATGTACTTGTTATATTTGGCTAAATAGCATCTCTGTTAACAATATTATATTTTCATACAGCTAAAAATAGATACAGCCTAGGTTTACTACCTAGGTTTAGCAATTATCAGTACAAGATCAATCTCCTATTATCCCCACATGGGCACAATTCCTGAAAGTAAAATAAATTTCATAATCAGTCATTTTAATAATTTGAGACACACATACATACACACACATGCACACACACAGGCATGTAGACTATGAATGTTTTAGGATGTACACCATTTAAAAAATCAGAATTGACAAGGTGCACTGGAGTATGCCTTCAATCCCTATTTGTTGGTTGATCCATATGTTGCCAGTGGATCTATTCTTCTTCATGAATTTTCTACTCAAATCTCTTTTTAAAAATTACCTATTGTCGATAGTCACTGTCTAGCAACAACAGACAAATAAAAATATGTAAGACAAATAATGTCCGAACAGATACTGTAGTAATAGAATAACATCAGGGAAGTTAGGAGAAACAGTGAATTTAAGTTATATAGCAGGAAGTACAAAATTATTCACACTGTTTAAAAGGAGTTAACAAAACATTACCAACAATAAGTAAAGATTATTAGGTAAGAGTTAAAAATTTAACCCAACTGTGTACTTTACAGCAGAACACACTTTAATTATTAATACATAGATAGATCAGAAGAAAAATGATGGAAGTGGTATAAATAAAAATTGTTTGTTGAAATATTGTATTAGCATTTCAAATAAAACCTTGTGATAAAAAGCATTGCATGAAATAAAAAGGGATACATACAAAGATAAAATAGATAAAGTCATCATGAGGCCTAACAGTTCTTAACAAGAGCCAATGTATTGCAAAGTTTTAAAATACATGAAACAAAAACTCATCCGAGAGAAGAGAAAGTAGAAAAAGTGATAATTTTATTGAATTACTGAACACTGTTCTACTTCACTGAGAAAGCATCAGGATAGAGAAATCATCACCTCTAAAAAAAGATTT